CCCCAAAACCCCAAAACCCCAAAACCCCAAAACCCCAAAACCCCAAAACCCCATTAGTTTAATTATATAGAAATTTATAAAATGTCAACTCTTCCACGGTGAGTTTACTACTGAGAGAAAGATCTGCTCATTTGGTGGGCAACCAGCCTCCGGGTTGGATGATAAAATCCTACTACTTGAGCCAATACCACTTCTCTATTTTGGATTGTATCCGGCCGATTAATTGTGACTATGTATAGAGTGAGTAATTATACCAAGAATGCAGGATTGTTAACATCCAGGAAGGATATGGGGGATATCTATGATCATTTCAAGAAAAAATCATTCAGCCTCACTTCTGTGAGTCCTAAATAAGGCATATAATCCAATGTGAGTTCGGTTTTACTTCGAAGCCATTTTTCGAATAATTCTAATATTTTTATAGAGGACAAACTATCGATAAAAAGGGTAAACTCTCAGCTATTTTAAGGGTGTTTTGGGCCAAATGTGCCATACCTGCAGGCTAAATACCGATCTGTGATTATCTGAGGTTTAATAAGTTGGGTTCAGTCCTTACTTGCTTTGTTGTTTATTTCTTTGAATAAGAATATCAACCTCTATGAAATGTACTCGGAATATTTGAATAAATAGTCTAAATTACTGTATAGGGTCTTTGCCTTCTTTGAATAGGAACAAAAACACAGTGTAAGCTAAATCTGTATTTAAAAATCTAGGTTTGATACAGTTTCAAACAGGAGAAATACTCCTCTGAGGGCTTTGAATTCCTATAATCTAACCTCCAGATTCACTCAATCTTACAGCCAATGAGGGATGTTCGAGGATACTTCGATGAGCGCTGCTAGCTTGGCTAGGAAATAAAGGTATTCAGAAGTCTAAATTCTTGACAAATATATGTAAATCTCTAAAAAGAAGTAACCTTGTTGCATAAAAATTTAGAAACCAAGCCGATGAATGGAACTTCATTAGCTGCTAATTCCTCCAAGAACAGTTTATTCTTGGAGAAGCTTCAGAAATCTAAACATATTGAAAAACTCTCAAAGGAATTTCCTGGAGTCACGGCAAAGAAGAACTGGGTCTTTCTGCCTGACATTATTATAAAGGAGAAGTTTATTAAAGCTTCAAACAAAATTTTACAGGAGAAAGCAGCAAGGAGGATACAGTCTACCTGGAGGGTCTATCTGTTGAGAAAAGCCTTTTCAGTTCACATGAAGAAGCTGCAGAATACAGCTCATATCTTGCAGAAGTACTTCAAGAGATGGAAATAAGAGGTACTTTGGTTGACTAATTCCTAGAAAGCAAAAGCTCAATCGATATCTCAAAGCAGTTGTCAGGATCCAGAGTTGGTGGAGAGGACAGCTTATCCGTCGTCAGACGATAAGCTGGTGTTACTCCAAGATTTACTCCCGCCTGGATACCTTTAAAGAAATGCGAGATAAATACCTCAAGCAAGAGGTATGCTTTAATGTGTCATTATAGATCGAATATTACTGCAACTTATGGAAACAGAAGGCTAAAAATAACAAGGTAGAGAGAAAATTACACGCTAGGAAGGCTTTTGTCTATTATGCAATCACTGTTTATGAGAAATTAAGGAAGAAAAGATCCCGTCAGAAGCATATTGTCAAAAGCAAGGAGACCAAGCCCAAAGCTAGTAAGATACCTTCTAACCTTATAGGGAAGTCCATCATCAAAGGTCCTCAGAAAGGTCTCGGAAAGCTCAAGAGGAGTAATCTGAATGTGAATAAATTCAAATCTGCTGTTAAAAATACGATAAAAAATAAAAATCAAGCCAAAAAGTAAGTCTGCTGTCAAATTTTTAGGATTCCTAAAGCAGATGGGAACAAGCTGGATGTCTCTCAGGATGATCGCCCAACCTCATTGGTTAAATCAAAGACCTTCCAGAAGGGAGTCATGAATAAGGTCATCACTAAGATGCTGAATAAAGCGTAAATTTGTTCCTTGATCTTTAGCAAAATAAATGTTGTTACCAAAAGCGGCTTCAAGGTAAGTCATACTCCGAGTCTTATAAGTGCATTTAAAGCTGATCTAGGATAAGAAGACTCAGCTTGAAAACAATATGACCAAATCTCCCAGGAAGGGATCCCATCAGATTACGGAAGTTATCCATGAAGAAGAGAATAAGGGCCAAGAGAGAGACCTCAAGTTAGTTGGTAAGCTAACATATAGCTCTGCATCAGACTCAAATGGGGTGTTGTCTCCTGAGATTAGGGTTGTAAGTATGAAATATTTGATGCCTTAGACTTCTCCACCTCAGGATAATATTGTGAAAGTATTTAGCAGCACTTTATCGTCAAGTAAAAATCAGAAAGAAGAAGAGTCTGTTTCAATAGCTACGACTGAAGAAAATCTTGATGATCTAGCTAGAAATGATTCAGATTAAATTTTCAATTATTTCATGTCCTTTGGGGTTTTGGGGTTTTGGGGTTTTGGGGTTTTGGGG